GTCATTCTTTTCCTTCCCTCTCTCAGCTCTCCTCCTCCAGCAGCACAGGAGCTCAACCTGTGGAGGTCCAGCCGTGGCACCTCACACCCTTTAACCCTCCTTGGCTAATGGGGCAAATGTCTGGGTTAAAATCAGGTGGCATTTGATGCAGGGAAGATTTGCTGAAGAGGGCAGAGTTGGGGAAAACAGCTGCTGCCCCCCACATCCAGCCAGCAACTTGGATCCTGGAGCAGGAGACGTTGATGTTTTGGTAATAAACACACCAGGTTTCAGTGCTCCCTCAGCTGCTCCTCATCAGACTTGTGCTCCAGACCATTCCCCAGCTCCTCTGCCCTTTTCTGGACTCACTCCAGCACCTCAATGTCTTTCTTGTACTGAGGGGCCCAAAACTGAACACAGGATTGAAGGTGCCTCAGCGGTGCTGAGTACAGGGGGACAGTCACTGCCCTGGTCCTGCTGACCACACTGCAAGAATAGGGCAGTGGGAATCAGGGCTTTCCTATAAAAGCACAGACTGCTGGCAAGGTAAGCCATGCTAAATCTCTGCCTCTTAGAATCACTTTGGATGGAAAAGATCCTTCAGATCTTGGACAAATGCACTGTTTCTCATTTGCTTTTGCAGATTAAAGTTAGTCCAGGAGAGCTGCAAGCAGGGCTTAGCCCTAAAAAGCAAAATTAACCACATTTAAGAAAATTCTGCATGCCTGTAGCCCTGCTACTCCCCACCACTTCAAAGGTACTGGTTTCTCTCCCATTCCACAACAAACTTTCACAGTTTTTTTGCTAACCCTGCCCTTTGCTCCACAGACACTAATTCTCCTTCAATGGATTAACATAATTAAATTAAATTTGGGCCAATTTTCCCAGCAGTTGTCCTGCTAAGCTTAATTTTTTTTCCTTCTAAAGAAGGGCTTGTGTGCCTAAAAGGCAGCCTGGTTTTTTTCCACCTCTATCATTTTGGTCTAATAAAAGATATTACCTCTCCCCACAACCTGTGCCTCTCTCTTGAGCACACTTGAAAGGAGAAAAATGTTTACCCAGAAAGAAATGTAGCTGGCAAGTTATTTCCCCTGGCTGCCTCGATACCTCTGAAGGTTATTTGCAGGCTCATAAAGAACTCTTTCTCCCTCCCAGCCCAGCTACTTCCAGTGCTCAAAGCCACAGCCCAGAGCCCGTGAACTCCTAACCTGTTGCTGCAGCAACGGCTGAAATGTCTCAGATATGATGCAGGTCCAGTCCCACATTTCCCAGGTTCCCATAGCACCTGGCATGACCCTAAAATGGAGTCCTGGTGCAATGGATACGATGCCAGGAAAGAGAGAAGGAGACACAGGCACCTTTTAACTCAGTCACCCCTTGACAATAACAAAACCTGAGCTAGAAAGCCTGATGTGTCTTATTATAAAATAAAGTACTGCAATTCAACCTGAATTAATTTCTCATTAATAGTTCTCAGCATATAAAGAGCAAGTTAAGAGCAGTAAGGAAGTGAAGAGCAAAACCATTGCCTTAGATGGAGGAATGAGGAAAGCACAGCATGGGAGAGCTGAGATATCAGTGCCTGGGTGCACGGGGACGGGTCTGTTCTCCCCCAACAACTTGGGCAGTTCTCTCTGTTTCAACAGCCCCCCCAAAAAACCAATGAGTTGGAGTTAAGTGGCCAGACCATGGCTGTGCAAACAGGCCCCTTCCTCCTCCTGCAAACTGCTGTGGCTTCTGCCAGCCCAGCCTGCAGTTGTCTTCTCCAAACACACGCACTCTGTCAAGGCAATGCTATAAACAAGCATCATTCTCTCATATCCCACACCTCAGATGACCTTTCTGCTGAAGCAAAAGCCACACTCACTCCAGCAAAGCACTAAAGACCTAAATCTTTGAGTTACATGTACATACACAGAGCAGAATAGATCAGCCTTCCCGGAGTTCTTATCATCAGGAACACACATGAATGCACACGGCATTCCATAACCACAACTAAAAACACTTAAATCGTTTTAAAACAAAAAGAATAAAATTTAAGCAACAAACAAGCTGGTGCTTTTTCTACCAACACGTGTGGGTTTTTTTAATGTTACTTTTACTGTGATATCATGTTTAAACACAGCAATTTTTAACACCTATTGGCTGTGGTCTTTGCACTGTGTTGTATTGGAGACATGGACACATCTTTAAATTACAAAGAGGTCTCGGAAAGGTGGCAGATGGAAACATGCTGTGAGCTGAAGGAATAAAAAGACCCAGTGCCAAGGACTTAGGGTGGCCCCAAGCTGGCACACATAGAGAGACTGTCTTGGACCTGCAGCAGTATCAGGATCCCACAGCTGCACAGGGCTGGTCCACGCACTGCATGACACAGAGAAACTGCTCTGTCAGAGGTGCAGCCCATGGAGACGCCAGAAGTCCCCACTTCCCGTCTTGTGGTCTCCAGACAAGGTCATGCAACTTCCCTAGAACGTGTCTCGGAGTGAACAGGCCTATGCTGAACTTTGAGACACTGAGCAGACTATAAATAGGATCCTAGGAAGAAAGGTAGACCTGGAACATCAGAGATCACGTCATCCAACACATCTCTGTGGTCTGTCAGAGGGGAATCAGTGACATAACTGCATATTCCCTGCACTTCCCTTGAAAATGCTCCCTCACACCAATGAGGGGTAAGGAAAAGGGGGAGAAGTGAAACTAATTAACCCTCAAAATTTTATCCCAAATTTATGTGCGTCAGCAAAGCTGTTGCAACGATTCTTTAACTAACAAGCTCCACTTGGAGACACACATCACTTCACTCATCTCATCCCGACAGTCAAACCATAGAGCAGACTCAGGACCACAAGATGATCCTTTCTGGATGCAGCCTGGCAGATCTAACCAGATCTAACACAGGGGCTGATGCTGTCAGTGATGAGCTGTAGCAATGACATCTGCGGAAGGGGGACACGCACAGCACCTTCCATCCACACACAAGCCCAAGTGTATCTGCAAACCTGCACAAGACTCCTGTTGATTCAGCTCCTATTCACAAAGAAAAAAAAACAAACAACCAAGTGCCTTGCAAAAGGGTGTTCTCTTCACTGCAGAGTTCCCAGAATTAATGCTGCCCCAGCGTATCCATATTCTGTTCACAGCTGTAGGCACCTTGAGCAGGTTCTATCAATCACTTTCTGCACAAGGAGTCATCAAATTAACAATCTCCTGGGAATTGGACTGGAGCCAGCAACTCCTTCCCTACTGGTGCTCAGAGTGAGTCTGAACTTTCCTTCTCAAAAAAAACCACATCACATTGACAAACGAGTGGCTTTTGCCTTCAAAGTGAAAATGTTTCTAAAAAATTCTGGGGTTTTTCAACAGGGATTTTAAACTGAAATTTGTCATTCTTTACACTGGAGAAGCAGGTCTGGACTTTCTCTTTCCTTCCCTTTTTTTTTTTAACTTAGCTTTAAATTAGTTGTCTCCCCACAAAATCTCTCTTCTGGGTAACAGAGAAAGAGCAAAAAGAACAGAGACATAAAGCCAGGATAGGGTAAGTACCACTCTTGTCCTTTCTCCATGAGGGAGGACAAACAATTAAGGTGTGGCAATGGCTTCACACTTCTCATTTTTTAAATTCAAACCAGTATCTAATTCTGAATCATGTTTCTACAAGGCTTTTTGTAAGGACAGGACAAGGAGGAATGGCTTCAAAGTGACAGAGGGAAGGTTTGGATTAGATATTAGGAAGAAATTCTTCCCTGTGAGGGTGGTGAGACCCTGGCACAGGTTGCCCAGAGAAGCTGGGGCTGCCCCATCCCTGGAAGTGCTCAAGGCCAGGTTGGATGGGGCTTGGAGCAACCTGGGATAGTGGAAGGTGTCCCTGCCCATGGCAGGGGGTGGAACTGGATGATCTCTAGTGTCTCTTCCAACCCAAATTCTGTGATTCTGTGATTCTAGCATGTTTGCAAGGACAATCTCTAAACTCACACATACTCCCCCCCATCTCCTTTTATTTTATTCTTTTTAAAGCACCATTTCAACCATCCCTGAAAAGTTTCAGGTCAACTTGCGTAAATGCTGCAAATGTGCAAGTAAAATGCTCAGTTTCAACCAGGACTTTTCCAAGATCTCTTCTCATTTCTTGAGTCACCAGGTCAAGAAGCCATTTCAGGAGATAAATTTAGGCTCCTCTGTAATCTGCCTCTTCAGGTGAACGGAAGAAGACAATTCAAGCTCAATTAGCTCCACGTGTTAATTTGACACTGACAGTCCTGTGAGGCAGAACCTGGTCCTGTTCTCCAGTCTGCTGAGCTTTCTCTTCAGCACAATTAAAGCAAAGGAGCAGAAACCCGTGCAGTTGCTGGAACTGCTACTGCCTGACAAAACGGCTTGTAGACCACTTTGAAATTGGTTCTGTGGTCAGTGGTCATTCTTGGGACTCCCACACTTATCACCTGCTCATGTGAGACAACAGCACTGATATGATTATTCAATAAAACAGAGAGAGTCCAGCCAAGTGATCCTAATTTCTAAAATGATGAGTTCTCTTTAGGAGAAAGTTCTTATCTATAGAGATAAGATCACAATCATTATGTACCCCCAGAACTACAAATAATTCCCACCTTAAAAAAGTTTCCCTCAGCACCACAGAGCATCTGATACACAACTATTCCAGCAGGAGAGGGAGAAGGTGCAAGTAATCCAGGTCACTGATTAGAAAAGCAATATACTCAGGCTCTGGCTGAAACAGAAAATTCCTTGGGAGAACAGCTACAGGGAATGAAGATAGTCTGCATAGAAATACAAGGCAGCTGTGGAAAGAGGCTCCATCCAGAACACGACCCACCAGCTCACAATGATACTAAGAAGAGAATTTGTCCAATTTTGGCACTATTAAAATAAAAAAAAAAAATTAGAAAGCAATCCAGTCAGACCATCTCAGAGATGTCTCCCACTCTTGCCGTGCTTGGTAGTCCCAACCAAAATTAACAGGCTGCAGAAAATTAACTGCTTCAAGGGAATCCAGTTCTTACCCATCTTTCCATCTACATCAGGCCTCCATTCCACCGGTCCCAGACACTTGTACCTTATCCTCCACTCTCAAGCATCCACCCTGTAACAAACACAGAGGTTACAGATTAATTTTGACACGTCAGTGGAGTCACTGTACAGGACTAATTTTCACAAAGCCTTTCCGACCCTCACCTGGGCTGGAGGAAAGAGGAGAGCCATTTAGTTAGGAACTGAGACCAGGAGTCTGCCCTTCCCTACACACCCCAAAGGTAACACACTACAAACCTGGAACCTTAATGGTTTTAAAATCTTGGAGTAAACAACTTATACTTGTGCCATAGGCCTCCTTTCCATAAGTGCAGAATATTTTTAATATATTATATTTTAAATGTATTTTTACATTATTAATGTAACCTTAAAGTAATAGCATCTTTATCACATCACATTCCACAGCATCCCTACGGAATAAGACTCACTTGGGGAACAGACTGACAGCAGGACATGGAAAGACAATCCAAGAGGTAGCCTGAATCAAAGCAGAAACCTAAATTTAGGCCTTCCAAGCACCAACCAAGGTTCCTCAAGGTTGCACCCCCTTTCCTCTGATCACATGGGAAAAAAGCTGAATCTAGGCAGCTCTCAGCAGCACTGTACGCCCCATACATCCCTCATGGCAGGCATGTCCCTAGGAGCCCTTCCAGAGTTTCTGCCTTTTGTCTGTCCAATGCAGGAATGGGTTCAGCTACCTGCCACACTGCACTTAGCCAAACCTCTGCACCCAATAAGGCTTGGGGTTTTTTTTTGGTCACCGAGAAAGTAAAGGAGATCTGAGCGTGCAGGAGCCAGTCCTGTTCCCTAGTGAAAAAAACCCTTATTTTAGACTGAATGAAAGCAAAACCCACCTAAAGGTGGGCACCTTTTAAGACAGAAAACATCATCAAAGTCCACTTCAGCTGCCTGGTAGATCCTCAGATTTCCTGGTCACAAACCTGTGTGGCAGCAGAAGAAAAATGGAGAGACATCTCAAGTACCTCAGCAGACTTGCAGAGGGAGTAAGACATTCCCGTCCCGCAGTTACTGCAGGCTGCCCCAAAGCCAACGAGAGCCACGTGCTCCAGGACACCCACACAGATTGTGGAGAGTCACGCGTGATACACTGGTCAGAAACGGCAGGAAAAGGTACTTTGAAAATCTCCCAGCACGGCCAAATCAATTCAAACATAGCAACAAATCCGAGGTGAACTGGAAACGATCACAAGTGCAGATTAAAACGATTCTCTGCAGCCCTGGCGCCTCGGCGCTGGCAAGCCGGGGGATATTTATCCAGCCTATTTTGAGAGAGACGAGCAGGAAGGGAAAGCGATAAGAGAGCAGCAGAGGCGGAGATGTTGTGTGCTGTTGTTCCTTCTGCTGCTGCAGCTTCCTCTCAGGACAGCACCATTTAGCCTAAGAACCCACAGCCACTCTGCTCTGTCCATGTGCCAAACAACCGAGGAGGCAAGGAAGTAACCAAAAGGCTTGGAAGGTTAAAAATCCTATCTTGAGGAGGAACTGGTCGGTCTATGCAGCGCTGAATCAAGAGAGAGCAGAAAACCAGCAAGAAAGCAGGGTAAAAAACTCCATATGATTATAACAAGAGCAGGAAACGGCCCAAATCTTCACTCTTGCTTTCAAAATTGATGCGACACTTCCAGCAATTAAGCTTTGTGCAGAGTTTGCACTGAGGGCCGTAGGCAGATAGCAGATTAGCTGTAAATTCCTGGGATAGCCCAGGTTAACTCTCCTATCAATGTAGTAGATTTTTCTAATGGCTTTCTGGAGACCTTCCAGACCTTTCCAATCCATATCTAGTCACAAAAACATGCCCCTGCAGGAACTGTGCACACGAACCCTGGAAAAAACAGGTGACCTTTCCATCCAGCAGAGCCCTACCCTGTGCTGTTCTCCATCACCTCTGCCACAGCAAACCCTGGAGACCCCACTGCCCAGCTCTCATGAGCAAACCAGCCCCTGCACACAGGGCAGGAAATCTCCATGGATACATGAGAGAAAAAAAGGTTTTCTGTTTTAGCAGATCTCTTCAATCCTGAGCACGGCCAACCTTCAAATTGGACTGCAAACACTGGCGATTTCCGTGGCTTCCCAAAAATACATACCAGCAGCTTCCTGTTACAGAAGGACAAATTCCTGTTTCTAGTACAAATTCTGTCCTTTTATTATCTCTCTTAAAATAACAGAGGGGGAGGGAAAAAAATAAGTGGGGGAAAAAAAGGAAAAATCCTTTTCCTACTCCAATGCAGTTCCAAGAAACCCCCCCTTCTCCTCCCACTAAGCTCCCTGATCAGAGCCTTCAAGTGTTGGCAATTTGCAACACAAACCAGTGAGCATCTGGGCTCCCACCTGCCACTGCACTGCTCCCACAGCTCACAGAACCGCTGTAAACCTACTCCAAATCTCCACTGCCAATCTCCCAGGCAGGCACATCCTGCCTGGGTAAGCAGGTCCTACACAAATGCCTCCTACCAAGCAATGAGAGAGCTCAGCAACCTGCTGGTTCCCAGGGATGTTGAGGCGATGTTCTCGTCGTGTTCCAGGTTTGTGCCGTGCACTCAAGAGACTTTGCCTGCTCCGGTCTGCTCAGGAAACTGCTGGAAGTTACTGAACCTGCAGGAATCTCAGCACAGGTGCTGCCATCTAAAAGCAGCTTTGGTTTGAATGAGCTGAGCTCAATTCTGCAGGCAAAGTGGCTCAACTTTATTACAGCCCCATGAGTGCAGGTTATGAGTTATCTACATGAGAGCTGCGTGTAAGGTTATTAATCCACTTTGAAAAGTAATCCCAGTTCTTCCCTTTTCTTCCCATACTCCTGGCTGGGAATGGATTAAGCAAGACTGAGCTCAAGGGAGACAACGGTTCAGCTGTGACGTGTCTGTATGACGTGGAGTCACACATGACTCCTGCCTCTGTGCATCTAAGTTGCAGAAAGCAAAGCAGAGGAAGAGAGGATGGAGAAGTGATTTTTTTTTTTCCCCCCTGGATGTAAGGGAGGACAAAAAAGGGACTAGAAGATTTACTGGGAGGAAGAATGTAGGATGCGGGGTTAGGAAAGCACTGGAGTCACCTGCGGGGTGCTATTGATTTGAAGTGGGATTTACAGTATCACCTGCCCCCAGAAGGACTCATCTTACCCCACAGAGGCCCAGCATCCAACATAAAACATGGATTCTAAGTCATGATGTCTTGCCACTACTGCAGCACAAGCAAGTGGCATCTACCTATGTCATTTATCATCCCCAGGCTTCCAGGGAAAGCAGCACCTACTTATTCCTGCCTCAGCACCACTTAACACTTCGGTTTGAAGGTGTAGGGACACACCACTGTAAAAAAAAAATAATAATAAGCCACAGTTGCCCCTGAAATAGGGCTCAGCTGGAAAGCTACTGAAACTAGCATTGCTAAAATTGGGACTTTCCTTGTTTTTTCAAGCAGCAGGGAACATGTTGGGCTCAGAGAGTTTAACAAGCAAGAGTCAAGCGGAAAAAATCTCTCCTTTTTAAGAGTTGACCACATTAACTTTCAGCAAGTTTCCGGGAGTCCTGCCAGAGCGCTGGAGTTTTGTATACTACTGTTAAAAATATTATTGTAAATGTTATTTTCAAAAAAGCTTCAGAGGCCAGGGCTGGGGTAGTGTTAAAAACAACAGCAAAGCAAATGAGATTGTTCTAATGGCGAGAATACAAACGTTATGTGTGCTGATAGCTCAGTCGGCCTGCAGGCTTGGCAAAGAGGGATTCAAATGCAAAGGGAGAGCAGCTGGAATATTACAGGTTTTCACTAATCACCCCAACCTCATCCTGATGGTTTTCTACAGACAATATAGAACATTTGACCTTCTGTTCATAGAACTGCCCTGGAAATTGGATCCAACATTTTGGGGATACACAGTAGAATAGCTACATTTTGGTGCCACTGCTCTCACGGAATTTTCCGGTCGGGTTTTCCAAAGGATGCACCATATGGGAACAGTCAAAAAGCAGACTTTTAAGACTATACATCTATGTAGATGAGGCACTTAAGGACTTGTTTTGGTGGTGGACTTGGCAGTGCTGAGTTAATGATCTTGGTGATCTTACAGGTCTTTTCCAGATTCTGTGATTCCATTGTTAATGGGCATGCAACAGGTGTGTCTCCATGCCAGGTTTGCAGGGGCATCTCCCAAGAGGGCTCAAGGGACAAACTTCATGAGCCAAGATGAGGAGAAAAAAGCCTTTCCTGAGCCTGCACTGATCAGGCTGCTAAGCAAGAAGTGACACACATAGACCAGCACAGCTCGCTGAAGGAGCCAGCCAGTGCCCTGGGAATTACATCCCTTGAAATCCAACGAACAAAATTCTATAAGAATACCCATCAGTCGAGGTTTCTTCTCTCCATTTTTGTGTGCTACACCCCAAAACTGCTTAAGAAACTTTTCCACAACATACGTTGCTGTTAGAAGAGATCTGTGTTTAAGAGCCATGGTGCAGGATTCAGGACACCTTCAGTCAGTGACCCAGCCAGTGCAGCTGTACTCAACAGCTGCCTCTGGAGAAATATCTCCTGAGCCATACTCTTGACTTCAGCACAATGTGTACACAGAATAAGAGCTTTAAAACCTGCCTGACTCCTGCTGTTAACTTCCACTGCAGCCCTCTAAAACAGTCATTGAGATCTTAAATCCTCTCCTTTCCCAAATGACTTTGTAAATTAAATGTTCCAGACAGCATACTCTAGTAAGATATCATGGAATGGTTTCGGTTGGAAAGGACCTTAAAGCACATTACTTTTCAACCCCCTGCCAAGGGCAGGGACACCTTCCACTAGCCCAGGTTGCTCCAAGCCCCGTCCAACCTGGCCTTGGACACTTCCAGGGCTGGGGCAGCCCCAGCTTCTCTGGGCAACCTGTGCCAGGGTCTCACCACCCTCACAGGGAAGAATTTCTTCCTAATATCTAATCTAAATCTCTCTTCCCTCAGTTTAGGGCCATTCCTCCTTGGCCTATCACTCCATGCCCTTGTAACAAGTCAGTCTCCAGCTCTCTTGTAGCCTCTTTAGGTACTGGTA